GGGGGGGGGGGCTCGCGGGGGGACTCGGTAGGCGGCAGATCGCCAAAGCCAACAGCTAGAGGACGAAAAATACGAACAAGCGAGCCAATGATGAAGCTAGCCGAGATGGTGCAGGTCTTCATTCCAACATGGGGTTTCTCAGGCTTAACGAGCGCCTGTTTCCCCCGCATCTCCACAGGCTGTCCAGGCCGTCGGGTGCAAGGGCTCGCGTAAGAAAAAAAGGGTATTTTAATGTTGATATTTCCTTTTTCTTTCTTCTCTCCTCCCCCCACGGTCCGCTTCGGTCCGGATAGAGCACAAGCCGCGCGAGCACAGCAAACTTTACAACCCCACGCACGTCCAATCGCGTCCCGATATTGGCAATGGATGATCTGGTAGACAGTTCATCTGAGCCAAACAAGAAACGTCTTCGAACGTCCCATGCAGTATGTCGACATGTTGGATGCTCGTCACCCTGTAGATCTAAGCACTAATAGAGGCACAGTGTGATGTTTGCCGGTCAAGAAAGATTAGGTCCGAATTGATTTCTTTTTGTCTTTTCCTTTTTCTTTTGCCTTTCCTCTGTTTCCTTGATTATTCCCCTTGGAATTTCATGTGATCCTTCTCGGAGCTTGAGCTAATTTCTGAGCAGATGCGATGGCAATAAACCGTGCCATGCCTGTCTCAATTCCAAGCAGGAATGCTCTTATGGCTCCGAGGCCAATACGTTAGTCGGCCCTGGCTCTATTGAAATCAATCATGCATCTGACTGGTTGTTAGTCGTGGAAAGAGTGATTTGATCCTTGAAGGCGTGTTGAGAGTTGAGGAGTTATTGCAGCAGATGAACTTATCCATGGTAAGGGAGCATGACAATCGTAGCCTTCCGAGTGACACAGAGAGCCAAATGCCCAAGAGTAGTGACTTATGCCTAGCCAGGTCACATCGCCTATATCCGCGGTACCGATCCTGCAGAGTCCCGTTTCTGCGAGACCGCTGTCCAATAGAAGCCCCTCCATCGACGACGTTCACGAACATCGTCAGAGTAACAGTAACCTAGAAAATGCCATACTCGACTCCCTGCACAACTCGACCACCGAGTCCATCCTGTCGTGGTCACATCTCGATGCATTCCCAACCATACGACAAAACTACACATCCATATTCCAGCTAGAACAGTCGAGGACACCACTGGCCACTCGCTCAAACACCATGTATCCGTACATCTCACCCGTCGACCTTGACGCCATTCTCGACACGTTCCAACGGACAGTGAACTTTTGGTACCCGGTCCTTTCCCTGTCCCAGCTGGACAGCACTAGGAACCTGGTCGTCCAAAATCTCCTCGAGAGCACAGATCTCGTGACTAGTTGTTGTGCACAGCTCGTTATGGCTCTCGGCTGCGCCGGCGAGGTGGTCACTGGCTTGGTGCACAGCGAAGACACGGCGCCAAGCCGCGACGAGGTCGACTTTCGACGAGCTCGCAAAGCCATGGGCGACCTGTACTTTGATGGCGCTCTGCGAGCGATGCACATGGTTCATTCGGAAATGAGTTGCATGGCGGTCCAGTCTTTATTCTTTGCCGCGTGCGTTTCCATACTCTGCCTCGGCGCTCATCTCTTTCTCACTGACATGTCCCTAGATTGTATTTTGCGTATCTGCGACGACCTCTTCAGGCTTGGACATATATACACAATACAGCTTCCAAGTGTCTCCTCCTATTGTCGTATCCGCCCGTCAATGAACCGATAGAGAACCAGGAGTGTCTAAAGAGAATATTCTGGGCATGCTACATTCTAGAAAGGTCAGTGCTCGTTGTACATTTTGCAAAAAGTCGTCCTAACACCTCTCTAGCGACTATCTTGCCGAGCTTTCGGCACTTCCACAGAGCGGTATCGCCCAAATCGAGTCATCCGTCTCTCTCCCTGGCAGCTACATTACACACGTGGACCCAGCTCAGACCGAGCACGCCTCTCTGTATTTCCTGGCCTGTATCTCGATGCGGCGGCTCCTGAACCGTGTACATCACCTCCTATACGCCCGGGACACGGGCGCAGCAACGGACATATCGCGGTTCCCCGCCATTGTGACGGAACTAGACCACCAGCTCGAAGAGTGGCGCGACGTCCTGCCGCACGCCTTTCGCTTCGATATTCCGCAAAACATCCTTGACCACAATGATAATAACAATGGAGTCCCGCTGTCTGAATGTGGCGGGTTCCTGCGGCAGCGCTACCTGACCTGCAAGAGCGTCATTTACCGCCCCTACCTCGCCTGGCTGCTCGCCTCCTCCCCGGGTGGCATGCATCGCGATGCCCGCGGGATCCGCAAGGAGGACATTGTCGCTCGGGCACAGGTCTGTCTCGATGCGTGTACGTCGCATATTCTGGCCCTGACGGGCTTTGCACATACTGTCCTGGTAGATACCTGGATCTGTGCTTTATCGTAAGTAGTGTTTCCCCTTGAGCTGTTATCATGTATAATTCTTAAAGTAATATTCCGACAGAATGGCCACAGCCATGATGATTCTCTTGGCTACGCGCAGATCCGCTCGGAAAATTGCCAATCGACATGACATGATGGAGACGGGACCGCATTTGAGAAAAGTCTTTAGAAGGTGGCAGGACAACCTCGGTACACCAGAGTCACCGAGCGTGGAACAGGCGTTGCGAATCATTTACGAGACAGAGAGATTGATGTCGGGGCTAACAGGCGGCAAGATTACGGAAGAGGAAGTGGATGTAGCCAACTCAATGTGTGCCATGAGGAGCTAAACATGACTGACTTGTCACGAGGCTAGAATATTTCAATTGAGCATGGTATCGGCTAAACCATTCGCTCTTTGCTACTTTCGGAATGTGATACTATCTCTCAAAGCCAATACCTACAGGTTACACTTGCAAACTTGAATCAAGAGTGAATAGCCTCGAGGACAAACTCAAACTCATCATCTACAGTCTTGACCTGCAAATCTTCACGAACACCCGGCCCACACGCCGCCGAGCCGACACCAGCCACCCGAGAACTCAGGCTCAGCAGCGTCGCGTCTTCCGGCACCAAGTCGCAGGGGTGCTTGGCCTTTTCCAGCGCCTTGGCACTATATCGACCTGCGGCCCAGCTAAAGACTTGGGAGTCGGTCGTCATGGTTGCCTTGATGCCGCTGCCGTAGTCGTTGCCGAGCTTGAGCCATCGCGTCTCCATGCGGTTGCCGTTCTCCTGAGGCACGTCGTAGGGGATCTCCAAATCCTCGACGGTGCTCGACCAGATGCCGATTTTCTGCGCAAGTCGCTTGTCCGGGTACGACTCGCCGGGTCCGCGCCCAAACCACTGGGCGTGGCTCAGGCGTTTGGGAAGTCTCAGGTCCAGTCCCAGGCGGGGAATGTTTGCGGGCTTGGGTCCTGTTGGTCGTACCTTGACATTGACAAATAGCTTGCCGGTTGTTGCTATCGTATATTTGACGTGGACATTATATCCCCAGCCAAGTATCGGCGGGGACAGGAATGTGTGCGCCTCAATCTCCACGTCATTCTTGTCTGTCCCCTGCTTCCAGGTAAAGTGACGCAGTTGCGAGGTCAGGTCGTCCAGCCCATAATGCTTCCAGTATGGCAGAGAACCCGGAATATCAATATCTCCAGGTCGATCATTGTCGGTTGGTGCACGCCAGAAGCTGGGAACAATTGCAGCCTTGTTGTCACCAATCTCAAGGAGAGCTTCACCATTAAGGTTCCACTGGGTAAGGTAACCTCGGACTTTGTCGAAAGAGACATCCCACCCCGACCCAGAGATCTTCAACGTGGTTCTCGAGTCCTGTGCAGAAATCTGGCTCGTTGCTGGAGAACTGGCGGTTCTTGTCTCTGATTGGCCCGAAATCTTGCCCTGCCATGAAGCAATCTCGTGCGATGGATTGGCCCAATTGGTAGCCGATCGAAGAGTCACTTCAATGGTGAAGAAAGTTTCATCGGACTGGTTCTTGAATGAAGCTAATTCAAATGGCAAAGAGAGCTCGACCCGTTGCCAGGATTCGAGCTTGGGAAGTGTGAGCTCTCCAGCCTCGAGCAATGATGCCCTAATGGAGTAAGAGTTAGTCTCAATGAGATGAATTCTGAGTTGTATACACTTACCTCTCCCCAAAGGATTCAATCCGATAGGTGGCGACAAGATGTTCGAGTCCAACAAAGTCATACTCATTTGTAATGAATACATGACCGTCTTCATAGTCAAACTTGATCGGCTGAATCACCTTCTTCAGCTCGAGAAGACCAGGGGTTGGCTTGTGTTCACTGTTGCAAAGTCCATCCATCACAAAGGTTGCGTCGTTGGGTTCGTCGCCAAAGTCACCTCCGTAGCCATAGAAGCCTCCTTCCGCATTCCAAAGACCGTGGTTTGCCCATTCCCAAATGAAGCCGCCTTGCAGTCGAGGATACTTTCGAAACATGTCCTGGTAGTCTTCGAGCCATCCAGGTCCATTTCCCATGGCGTGGGCATACTCGCACAGCACAACCGGCTTGTCAAAGCTTCCGTCCTCTTTCACGCCTGCCTTTTCGACCCACTTGGTCAATCGCTCCATGTTGGGATACATGTACGAATACATGTCGGCACTAGCAGCGTTGACATCACCTTCGTAATGGACGGGGCGCTCCGGATCCACAGACTTTGCATACTCGTACATGGCGACATGGTTGCATCCGTAAAAGGCTTCATTACCCAAAGACCATATGATGATGCTGGGGTGGTTCTTATCACGCTGGATGACTTGTTGCATTCTGTCGACATATGCGTCTCTCCATTCTGGGTTGTCGGAAGTGAATTTGGCGGCTTGGGGAAACGTGAGGGTTTTGCGCTCTTCGTAGTCCATCTCTTCGGGTATAACTTGTGGTCGAGCAACGGCATCGTAGAACCCGTGGCATTCTAGATCAGCCTCATCCATCACCCAGAGTCCCAACTCGTCGGCAAGGTCGTAGAGGCGAGGGTGGCTGGGATAGTGGCTTGCTCTGAGTGCATTGATGTTGTGTCGTTTCATGAGCAAAAGGTCTTCTCTGATGAAATCTAGTGGTACAGCTCTGCCAAAGACAGGGTGGTGCTCGTGGCGATTCGTACCGCGAAGTAGAATCGGCTTTCCGTTGACCGTTATCAGCCCTTTCTTGATCTCAACCTTTCGAAATCCGACATTTTGCTCAATTGTCTGAATCTCTTTCGACTCTGCCGAAACCAGTGACAGCTTGAGCCTGTATAGGTTGGGAGTCTCGGCGGTCCATTTCTTAGGCTCCTTGACCGGCACCTCAAGATTGATCATTGTAGTATCTGCTTCTACTTTTTGCTCGGCATTTCCTACTTCATTGTGACCATTTAGTATAGTCACCACAATCTTGTGATCCGTAAGACCAGAAGTGGTAACCTTGACCTGCAGCCGAGCATCGAGATAATTGTCGTCCAAATCAGTCCTGACAAAGAAATCTTCAATCCTAGCTGGCCCAGGAAAAGCAATCAAGTGAACATCTCGAAAAATACCTGTAACGAAGTCAGGATCTCGCAGGGAAAACCCCCACCAAATGAACAATGACCAAACATACCTGACAACCACCACTGGTCTTGGTCCTCAATATATGAGGCTTCACACCACTGATAAACCTGCACCACGAGTTCGTTCTCGCCATCTCGATTAACCACGGAACTAACGTCGAATTCTGCAGGATTTCTGCTGCCTTGAGAGTACCCAATCAAGGTTCCGTTGACCCAGACATGATAGGAGCTGTCCACGCCATCGAATCTGAGACGAAGCTGAGAAGATTGATCCCAGCCTCCCGGAACTCCAAAAGTGCGTCGGTAGGTGCCAGTTGGGTTTTCAGTGGGTATATGAGGTGGGCAGACCGGAAAAGGATAGATGACGTTGGTATAGTGCGGTCGACCATGTCCTTGAAGCTGCCAATGTCCCGGGACATTGATGCGATCCCATGTATTGTCGATGGCCAACGGCTGGCCAGCCTGGACTTCGGGCGCTTCTAACGGGCTGGGTGCATAGTGAAAATCCCAAGCACCGTTCAAGGAAATTGTAGTGTCTGGGATCCAGTAAGCACGTGTTGGAAGACGGTTTCTCTGCAGAACTTTGAGGTTGGCATAATCCGGTATCTCGTCAGCCATTGTCACCAATACTCTGACTTTGTCCGAGACAAAGACGAGACTTGACTAATGTAATGACCACAAGTGTTTCTTCGACGGTGCTTGATTGCAGGAATCGAGAAATTTATTCAGAACAGAGAATCACCTCATCAGTCGCACATATAGCAACGGGACGCAGCATCCGATCCAGGACGGGAATGGAATGCGAAAGAGGAGATGGGTTCGTTTGCTGCTTCTTGCCGGGATCTCGTAACTTTTCGCTTGGTTACACCTTGGAGCCGCGGCCTATGTAATTGCACGCCGCCTTGCACGATATGTAAAGAACATGGCTCGCTAACCTGTATGTCTCTGCGTAATATGAGCTTGACTTGACCCCATCGGTACCTTGTCAGGTGGGACTTGATCCAAGTGCTTGCAGCCAACCTCCCCCCACGTTTAGATCTCCACGAGCTTCCAAGGTTGACCCCATTGCAGCACAGAGACAAATCCTAGCCATTCGGGCCGCTCCGGATCTACGGGGAAGCCGGAGCCGTTGATGCGGGAGACGAGCAACAGCCCAGTTGATGACTCTGGAGAAAAATTATTATGAGTTTTATACATACATGATAAGTTGACATATTTCGATGATAATCCGCTTCAGTTCTTGGATGATTTCTCCTCATAAGTGCCCTTTCCCCCTCTGGTTTTCACGCCTTTCCCTTGATCACTCCAAGACTCTCGTCTCTCTTCCAGGTTCTCATCTGTCCGCCTCCTTACCTGCTGCATTTCTTCATACTTCTATCTTTTCTTCGTCTACCATGCAAAGAAGAACAAGAAGCTCTTCGCTTTGCACATGGACCAACGCCCTCTCTCACTGAGCAAAGTTCCCCTCCATGCAGCTCCGAAAAATCAGGAGGCAAAGTGGGGTTGGCGGGTACCTATTATACTTTGTAGTCTCTCAGTGAACAACATAACACGGTCATCAGGGACGAGTCTGAAATGAACAAATGTTGAACTGGTGAAAACTCGAAAAATGTGTGGAAAAATTCACCAAGAACATCAAAATATCAGAATCAAGACATTGAACACATTGAACAATCAATCAAACATAGAATCCACCAAGTCTCACTGGGCTGACACTAGACCGAAATTCCATCCCTCGAATAGATCCAGAATACGAAGCGCTGTGGCTCATTGCCCCGCCTCAAATTCACCCCGCTGCTGCACCCTATTATTGAAATGAACCCCGCGTTAATTTGGCAATGGAAGCTCAACTGGCTGCCACTCAATTGAGCTCGTCCAGCCCCTGACGGGTTACACCAACAAATTCAATCTTCACCGCATCTTTGACCACTGACTTTCCAGTTTCAGGGTCCTTTCCAACTATAATCCTGATACCCCACCAGCGTTTACTTTCATCTGTGCCTTTCTCTTGCACCAATTGACACTACCATCTTGTCAGTTTTCACACCCAGAGTCGCCTCCCCTAAACCGCCACGATGCCCATCTCCCTCGTCGCCTTCGACCTTGACGGCACCCTCGCCGAGAGCAAGCAGCCCTTGCTTGACTCCATGGGTGAGGCCCTTGCCGAGCTCCTCTCCGTCGCCCACGTCGCCGTCATCTCTGGTGGTGACTGGCCCCAGTTCGAGAAGCAGGTTGCCAGCCGCCTGCCTCCCCACGCCGATCTGTCCAAGCTCTGGCTGATGCCCACGACCGGCACCAAGCTCTACACCCACAGGGATGGCAAGTGGCAAGTCGTCTACGCCGAGCTGTTTAGCGAGGAGGAGCGAAAGAACATTATCAAGGCATTCGACGATGCCCTCCTGGCCACTGGCTTCAAGCCCGAGCAGACCTGGGGCGAGCGCATCGAGGACCGTGGTAGCCAGATCACCTTCTCGGCTCTGGGCCAGCAGGCACCTCCCAAGGAGAAGCACGTCTGGGACCCCGACTTTGCCAAGCGCAAGGTTATCCAAGCCGACCTCAAGAAGCGCCTCCCCGACCTCTCCATCAACATGGGCGGTGCCACCTCGATCGACATTACACAAAAGGGTGTAGACAAGGGCTACGGCCTCAAGAAGCTCCGCGACGCCAGCGGCATCCCCCTGGAGCAGATGATGTTCATTGGTGATGCCATCTTCCCTGGTGGTAACGACTACCCCGCCAAGGAGCTCGGTCTCGAGACTGTCCGCGTCAAGGACCCCGATGGCACTCTCGCCGCCATTGCCGGCATCTGCTCTTGCCTCCGATAAGCAAGCGATTGTGGCATAGACACTCGTAGACTCATACACGTCAAGCGAGCTTTCATCCTAGAACTAGAGCTTGCAGCAAGACTAGACAGGAGTCGTACTCGCGGCATACACAAAAAGAAACAATCGGGCATCAACCATGATCATGTGTGGTGGCTAGAAAAAGCGATCTGAAAACTTAATAGATGAGCTGGCAGCCTAGCTCTTCCAAATACAAAAAAAAATACCCCCAAGCTCGCAGTATGCCTTTCATGAAATATTTCTTACACATGAGATCTAATTGAACTGGATACAAATTGTAATGTGTGCTTTCTTGCCACGACTGTCACATGTAGATCGAAACATACATCTGCCCGAGCTTATATAATGGCAAAGAAAAGGTATAGGGCTGATGGCGTGATGACATGATCAACTGAGGGGCCATCATCTCGAACCAATCATTGGAACTCGTCTCGAAAGCACCTCGCTAATCATGCCAACAAGTTCGAGTCAACGAACATGATCATCCGCTGAATAAAATCCGACTGATGCATGAAATAACCCTCCTGCCTGTATCATCTGATATCAGTCAATATTGTATCTGATTTCTGCTACCGCGCTACTACATATTTTAGTTCACGGCTTTCCCGACAAATGACCATTCATGCAGCATGAATCACGGCTATTCGTTCATTCGAAAGTAGTGCAACATGTCGGCAGCCAACTCTCACAATCAGGAAATCTCTCGGGTTCAAGTGCTCGGGGAGACTAGACACGATGAAATCGAACTATCTAGAGAGCTGCCTTTATTCTCTGGCAATATTGAAGCAGGAGTTCCAACACAAGAAAGACTAGAAGGAGCACTTCCCTACAGCCAGCATGTTCAGCCCGAGCTCGACGATCAGTCCAGCCGTCTACCGTTTCGTCGGCTCATTCTGGCGTACTCGTGCTTGGCGGCGATATACTTTATCCAGTCTCTCGACATCAACGCAGTGGCGACGGCATTGCCGGTCGTCTCGAGGGCTCTAGGCGCCGGGAATAGCATTACTTGGACGGCAACGGCTTATCTCATGGGGCAGACGGCTTTTCAACCGCTGGTGAGTATGTATGACCTATATTCTAGCACTCACTCACAAACATACAGTACGGACGTCTCTCTGATATTTTTGGCCGCAAGCCAGTCCTCATGACATGTATCGGCTTCGTCATTGTGGGCGACATCCTTTGCGGATTTGCGCAAAACGTGATTTGGCTATACATTTCGCGAGCACTCAGCGGCGTTGGCGGCGGCGGCATCAGCTCGCTGGTGCAGATTGTCGTCAGCGACCTGGTGAGCCTCAAGGCCAGGGGGAAATATCAGGGCATCATCAGCGGCACCATTGGGCTGGGCGCCTGCACCGGCCCGTTCATTGCAGCGCGCATGATCGGTAGTAGTAATCAGGACAACACGAGCGATCATGGCTGGAGGTGGATCTTTTGGATACCTCCGATCCTCGCTGCCGTCTGCATGGCCATGATGTGGGTGTTTTTGCCCTTGAAGCCGGTCCAGGGCAACTGGAAAGAAAAGATTGCCAAGATTGATTGGTATGGACTGGGCGCTGCCGTCGTAGCTGTGTCCCTGCTGCTGGTAAGGAGACGTGTCCATGACGAAAGAGGTCTCTCGAGTATCTTACTGACACTCGTTAGATACCCATTAACTCTGGAGGCAGTATTTGGCCGTGGAATGGCTCTCTGGTCATCACCCTCCTATCCATTGGAGGAGTTTTCGTCGTCATTTTTGCCATAATCGAAAAACGCATTGCCAAGATCCCATTAATACCGTTACGCTTATTTAGTCAAGCATCCACGGCTATCCTCATCATCACAAGCGGTGTTTATAACCTCGTGTGGCAGGTGGATATTTATTTTCTCCCCATATACTTTCAGGACGTCAGAGGCTTCAGCCCCCTTCAGTCCGCAACGCTGGTGTTGCCCTTACTGCTACTTCAGAGTGTAGCCGGAGCATTATCGGGTGTCTTGATGACGAAATGTGGAAGGTAAGTTGGTCCAATGTTGAGCCGAGTTGATTGATACTCACTAAAACCCCCCCAAGATATGGCCCCGTCATGTATCCTGGCATGGCATTGTGGGTGTTAGGTGCCGGGTTGAAAGTCATTTTTTCAAGGACAACTCCGGTTTGGGTTTATGTAGTAGTTCTTTTCCTAGAAGGTGCAGGCATAGGATTCGTTCTACAACCAGGTATGTTTACTCCCTGGATGTTTGACACGTGAGTATACTGAATTTTTTAATTTAGCACTGGTCGCACTGCAGGTCCTGTGCAAGCCCGAGGACCGTGCAGTCTGTACTTCAACCCGGAATCTCCTCCGTATGCTTGGTTCTGTCATTGGTATGGCAGTCTCAACAGCAGTGCAGAGTGCCGTTACGATTGCGTCGGTCCCCGAAGATGTCCCGCCCGAGTTTAGATCGCAAGTTGCGGATGGGACTTGGCAGCAAGGCTCTGGCTGGGACTCACAAATCCTCGATGCAAAGATGAAGGGTGTCCGTGCCGTCTTTATCTTGCTCGTACCCCTGATGGGCATCTGCCTTTTGGGCTGTTGCCTCGTGCCAGATCGCAGGTTGAGAGGAGACGAGAAGATCGCGGAAGCGCCCAAGAGGCCAGGGTCAAAGACGTGAGAGAAGCAACGAAAACTGGAGTGAGGTCCATCGTGGGAATATCATATGATGGGGGTCCTGAGACAAATATTTCCGGCCTTATCATTTTGGCCATGAGTTGAACTGCCGGCATCCTTGGCCACATGGCAGGGAATACAGAAGAAGACGTATACACCGAGACATGCACCAGCTCAAACAACAGCAGAAGTGATCGACAGCTAGGGTTAAACCGCAGATACGAAGAATGTTCTCAACGTAATTACTACTCTTGGTCGATGAGCACTTATCCATTTAATCTGTGCTCGGATATTCAGCGGGTAGCTCGTTGTAGATAGAGGCTTGCAATTACCTGGATAAAGCATCCAGATATTGGTGTGAAGAATGAGCTTCCAGGGCGCCGGGTCATTATCGGTTCTCAGCTGAACGATATAGACTTGTAGTCTTGGCATTTTGAAAGAAGTATTGAACAGCATTGATGTTCAATACTTCTAGCACTACCCATTATTCATTAGCAGTTGCGACACGTGCTCCACTTGCATATAGTAGAAATTCGTTATGAGGCTCTTCGCTTAATACCAACTGCCGCGAAAGCTTGTATACCTCCCTATGATACTTGTCTGATATTTCTTTCGCCGCTCGACGAACTGAATGATGAAAATCTCATGTTACAAAGGCCGGGCCCCCGGGTCGTTACTGAACATGGGCGCGGCTTGAGAAGGGTCACAGCGCAGTCTGACATTGCATGTTACGATGGGTGTACACAGTAGTGAGACTCTGCACAGTAGATCCTGCAGTTGCAGGAAACCAGTCGTCGTAAGCTCGCCCCTCCCAAACAACTACTACAGGTACAATAGGCGCGCAGGGGCGTAACCCACGTTGGGCGATCGCTGCCGGATGAGGTAAGCCTTCGAGTTGGGGATCGGGTCCCCGCGCGCCAAGCTGCATCTTGGACAAACTTGGACCATATGTGATAGGTGAAAGAAGCATAGTCGTGATAAACTTAAAAATATCTTATGCGCGGGTGATTTGTGGTACAAGAAATAATCGGTGAGCGTAGAAGAGGTGCAAGACTGCCCAAGATCTGATGTCTACCATATGGTAGATAGTACTTACTGTTTCGAGTAAAAGGGGACCCTCACCTTGAATACTGCTGGCTCAGCGCTTCAAACTCCAAGCGTTCTTTGTCTAATTAGCACCAAGAACTAACAATCCAAAGTCCATCGCCTTGCAAAGAAGCATAAAAAAGACTATTGATCGAGCCACCCCAACTCACGCGCTTACTGACGCCTTGTCATCCGAGCCCCCAAGATTGCCTGAAACACCCAAGCTGACGGACGGGTACTATTCAATTCGCCAAGTGCCGGGTCCCCGCCCTACGAGATGTCCCCCCGAGGAGAGGAATGGGGAAAACGGATCAGGAATCTAGGGGATTCAGGATGCACGTAGGAAAATACGGGCAGCAAAAGGGATGGATAAGCCTAGGTGGGTGGCCAACCTTTTGTGAGAGTATGTATGTGAGTGAAAGAGCGAATGTCTGTCGTGTTACCTGAAACAACATGACATGCTCGTCTTTCCCCCGACGGGATGGACGAGCACTGAGAAAAGAGTGCATATTCCGTCTTTCTGAGTTGCCTCCTTGCGAGCCGCGCAGTATTCCATGGCGAAAATTGTCCACGTCAGCTCTGCACGCGATGCGACGGCGCGAACAGACATGATCAACTCTGGTACCTGTGTTGGGGGAAAAAAAAAAAAAAAAAAAGAAAACTTCTTGTTGCCGCCACGCGCTTCCTGGGTGTTCTTCTTTCTGACAGGAACTTTTGTTTGATGATAATCCAATGCGAGTGCAACCGTAGCCAAGGGTCTGACAGAATTCTCCGACAGCCAACGTGGATCCTGGGATTGGGAATGGACATTTTTCGTACGTCCAAGGTCCCCAACTCGGGCCACCAGCTCCTAGTCTTACACAAGGCAATCAAGCAACGGGCAAGGATCCCTCGGGTGGATCATCCCACCTAGTCTTGGCGCAGCAATCCGATAATATTCCTCTTCTCTGAGTGGCTGGCGAGAGGAAAGCTTTCTTCCTCTACCAACTGCTTCTTGCCAAGAACCTACAGTCATGATAGGAAACTCTTGCTGTAGCAAAGGGGGAATGAGAACCTAGAGTTGACACTATAACCATACCTTACCCATGTGCTACGTAGTACATTTGCCACGCAATAAAGATAATGTATACCTCATGATCCTGGTCAAGTGAGAAGGTTGCTATCAAATCGCAAGAGAGCGAGCATTTTGAGTGAGATATAATCATGCCGTGGCGCTACTTTTACATGCATAGAAAACAATAGTCAAATGCACAAAATAACCGACCGACCACTTATACGAGCTGCGATCGTAATCTCGTCCGTGTCCCCCGCGGGTCGGTCAAAGAATGACTAGTGGAGACCAAAAGACTCCCCGGGAAAAGACCCGAACACGACTGGACAGAGGCGACGAGAGCTGGGGGCTAATGAGAAAAATACTATGTAAAATGGCTACAGCAAATGGATTCCCCATCGAAACACGTTCCAATATGTCTGTTCGCCTGCGACTCTGGCTTGCTGGCTTTCGAGTCCCTTGACCCACTATGACAATGAATCTGGAAAGCCGCCGACAGGGTTGTTGGCTATAAACAACCTTTTTGCACAGAAGCCGTTTCTGCCATACACTAAGACTTCTGATACGGGGTACAACCGCGCGGTCCGCTACTGGATCCGTGGGATCGACAAAGTCCTTGCTCAACAGAAGGTCCCCGAGCCTTTTGATAATGGGACGTTTCACAAAATGTGATAGGTGAATACTACCAAAAAAATGTTTCGGTGAGTCGTTTGCCATAGCTACAGCGACGAGCAAGTTGTGCTTCTCTACTAGTATAAGAGACGATGGCTTTCCTGTGATATTTGCTTTTGGATTCTCTCTATCAGCCCAATTTTACACTTGCTCATCATCACTGGTTGGGATTTCTCTTTCCATTTTGCTTTTCTGCTTGGTTATTTATAGCTTGGTCTATACTATCATCCTCATAATCATATTCAACCTTTCACCATATTTTCACACCTATTAATATTGTCACTCACAACATAACTCGTTATCAAAATGTACTCCAAGATCACAGTCGTTTCGATCCTCTGCGCAGTTGCTGCTGGTCAGTCAACATGCCCTTCTGTCTGGACCGATGTTGCCACGGACCTAAAGGCCATCTTTGTCGACAGCGATGGCGCGGCAACCGATGATGCGCGTGCCGCCATCCGTGTCTCTTTCCACGACTGTTTTCCCGAGGCGTGTGATGGATCCATGATTCTCGCCAACGAGTGCTCCGACCGAGGAGAGAATGCTCAGATGGTAGACATTTGCACGACTTTGGGCGACATGGCCACTCAGTACAATGTCAGCACAGCTGATATCATTCAACTAGGAACTGGTAAGAGAACCAATCCAACCCCAGCGTCACTTGACCACTTTCATTTTCGTTGAATAACTTGAAGCTAACTTGGTATAGCCCTGGGCGTGTCTGCCGCCCTCGGTCCTACCATGGCTTTCAAAGTCGGCCGGGTCGACTCCAGCACGGCGAACCCCACGGGACAGATGCCCGGCGCGGCGGATTCTGCCGACACCATTGTCGCCGACTTTGCGGCCAAGGGATTCTCGGTAACGGAGCTGATTGCGCTCGTCGGCGCCCACAGCGCGGCCAAGAACCTCGCGGGCACGGCTCTGGACTCTACCGTCGACGACCTTGACACGACCTTTTACACCGAGACCGCCGACGGCACGGCGCCGGCTAGTCTACAGAGCGATATCAATCTGAGCAATGGCACCGATACCAGCTCGGACTGGAGCACTTTTGGCGGCAGCTTGAGTGACTGGGAGGCTGCATTCGTTCCAGCGTAAGTTCTACCGTCCGACATGAGCATTGCATATCCCTCAACACATTAGTTTGTCATTCGGTTGCGCTGACTAGAGTATCTTTTATAGAATGGAGAAGATGGGACTCATGGGAGTTGACGAATCGACTTTGACCGACTGCTCCGACGTGGTGACGGCAGCTTTCCCCTCCAAGAAGAGGCGTTCCATGAACTTTGGTCCCTCAATGGCTGCCCGGGGCGGCGCAAGCAAGAGGAACCCTCATGGATTCGCCGCTGGCGCCTCGTGGATGCGACACGCTTAAATCAATGGCTCCTCGTCGTGAAAGGGGATCGAGTCGGAGCACTTGATTGTAACATTACGGGCGCGCCGGGATGGTCGATATTGGTCGCTGTTTGATGAGATAATGATGGGTAATAATAACATGGCGTTCCGGGACAGAGTTGTGTGTCTTTTTTACGAGGTCGGAAAAGAGGAGATGGAGATATGACGGTGGGAGAACAAAATTTGCGAGAGAGGACCTAGAAAAAGAATAAAGCCAATTGCGATGCAAAAGATATTATAATGCCAATTGAAATCATTATTGAACTGGATTCTGTGTAACCTTAAAAAGAAAAGTATCCAATGACTAACCTCCAAACATAATATTGCCTCCTTTTATTGTTACAAAAAGTCCAGCCACAACTGGGGCAGATGCCAAAGCTGGTGATGATCACACCACCAGCCACAACCCTATAACCGACTCGCGTGCTGCCTACGACCCGCGTCATTACTCCATAAGCTCCAACCTTTGCTGGTGTGGGGTCGTCGTGCCATAGCTGGTCAAGTTCTCTTCGCTTGAGCCCGAGCTTTTTCGCTTCCCAGGTACAAAAAGCCCCTCCTTCCCCGACAGAGCCTGGGACTTCGGCGCTTTATGAGCTTGAATGGCCGATTCTGTATTTGTCGTGATACTTTGTTAATCAACCAACAACAACAACAACTACTACTACTACATCACTGACGAGAATTTCATCCAATTCCGATTCTTAACTTGTGCGACTACATATATTGTCCAACACAGTTATATATCCTTGTCACAAGACCATCAAAGCAATACTTGCAGTCCCGGTTATTCCGTTGCTTTGCTCCTCCCGTGGGACCATCAGCGGCGGCGTCCCGAGACCCGTTAACCCGGCTCAAGAAGCTTTGATCCCTCACCCCCGTTCCAAAATTCCAGCCAGTCAGAGAAGCTCTAGCTCCACCGTCTCCCCCGTACATACATAGCAGCACAGTTGGAGGCTCAAAAAACCACCTACATACAAGCAGCAGCCACAAACGTACAAAGGCAGATTACCTACGCACCAGCGCAAGAAGCTCGTTTGCGACACCATCCCGCATTCGTCTTTTGCATCAAAACTCCACCGTCTTCTTTTTTTTTTTTTTCAGGACATCCAACGCCCATTGCCTTGTTGGCCCCCCACTGAATAGCTCTCTGACGCGACTTGTTCATGCAAAGCCCCCCCCAAGACACCCGGGACTGAGACATCAACACCCGTCATCTCGAATTTTAGCGTCGCCGTTTGCGCACTGAGGAGCTACCCACTGAGCTAAGTTGGCTACTTGGCTGTTCACTTTTGCAACATTGCGATACCCTGCGATTCTCTGCGACGAAAGAAACAAATAAACAGTCCGACCGATTGACTGGCAATGGGATTCGCTAGAGCTTGTGAGCTCGTTAAGATTAATAGATCAGTCGCATATCTTCCGTCATAGACGCAGAAGCAGATTATTATGTGAGTGTTTCTCAATCGCATTCGCCCTTTCTCCCAACCGATACCCCCCATTGCTCTTGCTACGTACCTCGAACCGCCCAACTGAACTTGCCCGGATGCGGCCCTCAGCCGGCATCTCAGCATTCCAGCCTGGCGCAACGAGCTTGTTTCCGAGGCAGCCTACCACTACCTTCAGCACGCAAATCATTACAACCACAATTCCTCCCCAGGAAGAAATATCCCAAAGATGGAAAACTAGCCAGGATGTATAGCTAACAATGGCCTTGAAATCGTACAGTCTTTGAATTCTTTATTCCGATCGCGCACACGACATCTCCACATACACCATGGTGAACCTACGCGAGTTCACTACGGGTTCCAACCTGCGGTACCCTCTCACAGTATCGCGAATTCACAAGAGGAAAGGTGAAAAGGTCAAGAGACAGGAAGCCGTCCTCCAATACACCTACAAATTCAAGCGCACAATTGGCGATCCCGACCTGGGCGAGGAGCGCGAAATTGAGGAGACGGGTTATGGTGATTGGGATTGCCCTTCGGATGGCACCGTTCACAAGTGGTATGTCAGCGAAAACGATGTCATCCAGCGCGATCAGCCGCTTGTTGTAATCGACGAACCCTGCTCTCATGACACGCAGTTTGCCGGGCTATGCACGAAATGCGGCAAGGACATGACCGAGTCCAATTGGGCTGCCGAAGGGTTGGATATTGATCGTGCCACAATATCCATGGTCCACGACAATGTCGCCCTCAAAGTCAGCGCCACTGAAGCTGAGAAGAAAGAGTTGGAATTGCAGGAGCGTCTCCTCACCCAAAAAAAGCTCAGTCTCGTGGTCGATCTGGATCAGACAGTCATTCACGCCTGTGTAGAGCCCACGATAGGCGAATGGCAGCGCGACCCGTCGAATCCAAATTACGAATCCGTCAAGGAGGTGCGCAGCTTCCAGCTCGACGATGGCCCCAAGCATGACGATTCGCCAAAGTGCTCCTACTACATCAAGTTGCGTCCCGGCTTGGCTGGCTTCCTCGAGCGCATTTCGGAACTCTACGAGATGCACATTTATACAATGGGAACTCGAGCATATGCAAAAGAGATTGCAAAGATCATCGACCCCGAGCAAAAATATTTTGGCAACCGAATTATCAGCCGTGATGAAAATGGTAGCCTGGCTGCCAAGAGGTTGCAGCGTCTTTTCCCAGTCAGCACGCACATGGTCGTAGTCATTGACGACAGGGCAGATGTCTGGCCCATGAACAGGTCGAACCTGATCAAGGTCGCCCCCTACGATTTCTTCCGCGGTATTGGTGATATTAACTCCAGTTTCCTTCCAAAGAGGGAAGATCTTCTTGCACCTGCCCCGGCCCCCATTCCCATGCACACCAACGGGGGGCCAACAGCCAACTCAAACACTTCTGAGCTCGCCGCCACCACACTGGAACACGAGAGACCCATTGAAGTCTCCGACGATGAGAACGCATTGATTCAATTGCAAGCACAGGAGCAAGAACGCGAGCTTGAAAAGCAATTGACCGAACGACCATTGCTACACTTGCAAGAAGAGCTGGACAAGGAAGACACGGACATGGAAGATGCTGCTCCGTCGACTGAAGCTGCTCCAGCACCTGAACAGAATGGACACGCCGAGAGTCCTGTACACCGCCACAATCTTCTTCGCGACGATGATGAAGAACTATTTCATCTAGAGAAGCATCTCTCTCTTTTGCACCAAAACTTTTACAATCAGCATGAGTCTCGCGTTGCGGCTGTTCGCAAGGAGACGGGCTCCAAAGAGATCACGGCAGATTCGATTCCTGATGTCGGCAAACTACTCGAGTGGATCAAGAAACGAGTGCTGAGAGGCTGCAGTATTGCCCTTAGTGGATTGGTGCCACTTGGAATTGACGTGCATCGATCTGAGCTCGGCCTCCAAATACAAAGTTTTGGTGGTGAGATCCGAACACGAATCAGCAAAAGTGTTACGCATCTGGTCATAAGTAGTTCTAGACCACGCACGCAAAAGGTTCGACAAGCGGCGCGCATACCTTCGATCAAGATTGTCAATCAAGACTGGCTGGCTGGTAGCTTGGCACAGTGGAGGCAACTCGAGGTCGAACCGTTTCTTGTAGAGGTCCACCCGTCGGATCGTGTCAGCCATACGCCAGTTGAGGTCGGCGGGAGGGAGAGCGAGAGTCTGAGCCCGCCCCGACCCGAGGAGGGTGAAAATGGCGAAGATCCCGAAGAGGAGGCTGTGGACGAGTCCGGTGGAGATGATGAGCCCGATGAAGATGAGGACGGTGAGGTACAGGACCTCTACGGGGTCATGCCAACAGAGCTTGAAGACGGCGAGCAAAGTCCAGTTGATGGTCTCAAGACAATGGATTGGGGTGAACTGGACGCCGAACTTGACGAGTTCATGGGCTCTGACGCCGGCACCGACTCCGAGGTGGACACCGATTTCGAAGACGCCGATGCGACTACGACTAATCGGAAACGGAGACCCGACGATGATGAAGATGAGGGCAGCGCCCTAGCCAAGAAACAAAAGCTGGCCAGAGATAGGACTACTGGTTTGCGCAATGTCAAGAATGCCGCAGATGATGGCAACAGAGACGGCAGCAGCTTACCCACACCTATGGGAACGGGTGATGATGAAGAGGACGGTGCTGATGGGTTTGATGAGGATGACATTGACCTAGAGGCGCAATTGGAGGCCGAGCTCGCGGCCGAAGCCGACGCAAGTCTAGAGGCAGAGTAGGAGCTCTTCTCGAGATATGTAGATCTAGTGTATCAGGGCAGCTGTTGTGTATAGGAAGGCACCCCAGGAGTTGGTGCGTATGGATTTTTTTCTGCGGCAACTCGGCGTTCATAGTGGCAGCCAGGCTTGGCTTGAGTTATTGCATAGCGATAGGGAATCAGAGCCTTTTTCACGAAACTTATTTATATTTGTGGTATCTACGACCCGAAACCGGGGATCATGGGGAACTGCGCATAAGTGCGCATTAGTGATAAGTCTTATTGAAGATGGGCCATTATGACAACGTGGGGTTATAAGAGACTTTCTTGCTTCATTATACCAAAGCATCATTACATATCGTGATGTTCCCAGTGGTTCATTGCTGTTGGAGGGAGCCACTCATATGCCCCATCATTGACGGAAAGTGCCCCACTCGAGTGCACGTGATCTATCTGTGGAACTCCAGAGCTCAATGAGAGCTACTACTTCGTAACAGTACCGACCTCATCACCAGCTATTCAACCCCATTGACGATCCGGACTTGGTCCAATTGCGCTGCAAACCTCACTTAATCGACTGCGTTGATCCAAGCGATCGGAAATTCGTCATCATGCCTCAGGATATGCCCCCCATTGGAGGCTACGGCCCGGTTCAGTACAAGGTACGTGTGGATGGATTGGATTGGGCACTTCTGCTGCGCGGGCAACAAGGACGACGAACGGGCGACGAACGGCAATGATCATGCGACGCTGTATCCTGAATGACTCCGAGATCTGAGAATGGGCCAACGAGCGACCGAGCGACCATGCAACCGAAACGCCAAATACACTTTAGGAACCGCCTTCCGAGCACCCGAGGCTGTGGCTACCCTGATTGGCACGTACGATGGATATTTGCGCAACGAGGTCTTGCGATATCGATTATTTACGATATGTAATTGCCGTCGAGCCATGAAGCGGACACATGCGACAGGCATTCTCAGATCTCGGGTATTCATGCGAGCACAAACAGGCCAGGAATTGGTGGACATGGGGAATATGGGCAGTGATCAGAGTGTGCTAACTCAAAGGAATTCTCGACTATAGCGCAACCTGCCCGCCGCCTCCCTCCGACCTGGCACCCTGATCCTCGGAATGGGTGCCATCATGGTCTACGGTTTCTACAAGCTCGGTCAGGGTATCCGGGAGCAAAAGTAAGGTTTCCCTCTTTCTTTTCCACGTCTTCTTTCCCCGGCAAGTGGATGCAGAGAGTCGTGCGATATCTTGGATCCGGAAATGGCTAACAAGATGTTTTTCACCTTTATCCAGTGAACTTGCACGCGAAAAGATGTGGTCGCGCATCCACCTGATTCCCCTCCTCCAAGCAGAAGAAGATCGCGACCTGGTGCGAAGGCATCTGGCCGACCAGGCGAGAGAGAAGGAACTGCTGGGCGAGAACTTCAAGGTCTACAACACGGATCGCTACGTGAGACCGACGTATGCTGTCACACCCACGACCACGACGAAATAAGAGAACGAGAGATTCTTGAGGAGCGTCATGGGTTGCAGTTGTATGTGTGCGTGCGTGCGTATGTTGCAGCAAATTGTTCAAGACTGGGGAAAAAGAAAGCGGTAATCAGGCTGGTGTGGAGTCTGTGCCGGGAAACTTGTACATTTTTTTCTTTTACATTTCCCAAACAGTCCAACAATAGATCAAGGTCATTCCATGGGGTCTGTTTGTTGACAATGGACGCGACAGATCGTGACGAACATGCCTCTGGTCACGATATTGATTTAGCCCATTCTTGGTATCGGCGAACTTGAATTTTCTCTTCGAGAGCTTTATATTCAAGATTCTCAGAAACATGGTGTGTCGGGTGATGGAATTTGGCACAAGTACGACTGATCCATCCTGGGAAAATTGTGATTGTATCACTCACCAAGGGCACAGACTTATCAAAGACCAAGCTTACACTTGTCCAAATCCATCGCATGTTTGTCTCATTCAGACGACGCTCGACTGATTTGTCTTTGAATGTGAACACCAGTCGACTGGGCCTATGTGTGAACCTGTGGCCGATTTGGCAAGCACGCACTCGTGTAGAGCGTCACGGGCGAGATTTGTTCATGTCATTTGATTGTGGTGAATGATTTTAATGCTCAAGCACAGGGCGACTTTATTGGGCTGGCCACAGGAGATAATCATGATATTATTGCTGTGGCTCCGGTATTTTTTTATAACCTCTAGTTCTTTTGTTTCATGTCCTAAAATAACCAACCACACATTGACATGATGCTCGTTTTGTGTATACTCAAGGAAGATCAAATTATGCCTACTCTTGAGTTCATTGGTGGCGTTCTCTCCCGCAAGCTTTTCATGATTCCAGAGATATTTAGTTTAGCAAGCTCAATGTCAGGTCGCCGTGTAGGCTGACCTTCAGCTGCACCTCGACCTCTAGGTTGAGATCCAGCCTTAGACTCGTGCGCGCCGCCTGGCCTTTGCGCGTCGTCGAGCTCTTTGGCTCTGGTTGGCGCGTAGGTGGTGGCAGTGTTGGTAGCGGAGCAGGAGACTGTTGCCGAGCTTGATGATGTTTGGAGCGATGAGGTTTTGCCTCTCTTTTGGAATGCTCCGTCTTTGTCTCCTGCCGACGCTTTCGCTGGCTGCCAAATGTCTTGGACCGCAGTATTGGCTGGCTGTCGGGTAAATCCATGGTGGGAAGCTCGGTGACTGAGAACATGGACGACTGTCTCTTGGCTCTGGACTTTGAGTCGGGCACTGGCGGCACTTGTATTCGCCTGGTCGCCACTACAGGCACCTGGGCACGGCTTGGTTTGCCGATGGCTTCATCCCCAACCGCGCTGGGGACATTTCGTTTGTCCCTTGGGGGTTCATCGACCACGATGACCTCTGGCAACTGCACATCCGGCGGCCAAGCCTCAGAGGTGGCCGTCGACGGCTCAGATCGGACCCTGTCGGGGAGGTGAAAGCTGCGCAGCCTCTTGAACTCTGCGCTGCTCTGCGGACGTTGCTTGGTGGACATTAGGACACTCCTCCGTGCAGCTGCCCGACGGACCTCTTGAGACAACTTCTCATGCCCGTCTTGTTCGGTGTCGCCTCTTTCCGTGTTTGGTTCTTCGTCCCCGCCACCATTGTCATGATCATCATCGTCGTCATCACCGCATACGCTGCCTTGAATCGGTATCAAGGCGGCTTCTCCATTGTCGTCGTCTCTCATTACATGCTTGATGGACCCCGTACTAGCCGCCCTGGACCTCAGGGTATTGGCCCTCGAGCGAGTCGCCTCCTTGGCATCGTTTTCACTAATGTCGATAAAAGACGTCTGGTGCAAGGGGATGGTATTGTCCACGGGCAAGGGACTCCAAATGTATTGGTCCTGCCAGAGCGGCCGGACCGAGTCGTACTTTTTAGATGGGAGCCATACGAGCGAGGAGCTCATTGCGCTTTTTGTACAGCCCAACACATTTCATATGGGGGTTTGGGGGAAAGAGTTGTGTACAAGGAGATTCGTTATCTCTGGCTGCAATGTGTCTGCTTTCTCTCTTGGACGATTTACAAGAAACTGCTGGACAAAACGAGTGACTGCCGCAATTCCAAGTAAATAAAGAACAGTTGCCAGATATATTTTCTCAGTTCTCAAGAGACAGGAAGAAGAATAAGAAAAAGTCTTTTCATTGCATTTGATACGAGTTTAGAAACAACTAAAATGCCCCCCAAACGTCATCCCGTTGAGTGAATGCAACCTCAAAAGACCAGTGCCGTGGCTTCAAGTGGGGAATCGGCATTATTCTTGGAAACCTGGGATACTAATCGCAGCAAAAAAAAAAAAAGAGAGCACAGCCCTTGACAGGGATTATATCAGGGTCCTTGGCGACGGAGCAGTATATCCACATTTGGCGAATAAACCGTGTAAACTATGTTGTTGCCTCTGATTGTACGGAATATCATCATGGCTATCTTAATACATAATTCAAAACCAGTAAAGTCACTATTGTTCCGATGCCAAAGAGATAGATACAAACACAACATATGAGCACAGTCCTCATTACTCTGATTTTCCATAGGACCATTTTCACTTGCGCAGCATTAACCGTATTAATTGCCAACTTTTTTTTTTTGTCTCCTCCTCCTTCTTCTTTCCTTGACCAAGTTATACACCTGTCTCATTTATTTGAAGTGCGTTGCATTGATGATCCAGCATTTCCGTATTCAGCCGCAATCTGATATGGCTATTCACCACATTACTCATGGCTCCATTATCTCACGATTGTGAGGGCGGCTGATGCTCAGCTCATGCAGTGAGCAGGTGACTTTGCAAAGGGTAAATTGAATTGCTAGTTTTCGAGGATGCTGTGTTCAATGTAGTCATTCACTTTACCAATTTGAGCCGACATTGACCAACTACTCAGCACTACATGAACACTCACGGACAAGCCCCGACTCCTTCCGCGCAGTTGAGCCCCAGGTGATACAAGTCGCTAAAATAAATCTCACCGGCTTCTTTGATTTCCCAAGTCATAACAGAGCTTCTCAAGACCAGGGGGAAGCTTATTGCCATACCACCTCACATCCACCAAATCTGCCCAGCACCGCCCCCCTCCCGCAGCTCCCCCAGGTGCTCGTCTAGCACCCTCCTCACCCGACCAGCAATCTCCCCGGCCGAGGGCGGCTGCGCGGGAAGCCTCTCGGGCCCATCCGGCTTGGTTCCCAACGGCCGGACCCAGGGAACGGACCGAGCGCCGTCGACAACATTATGAATGGCGGCAAAATCGGCGTGGGAGTAGCCGCCGCCCATGATCACGACGCGAGGCCGGTCGTATTCGATGCCGTCAAGGATAGGCTTGCTGTTGCTGTTGTTGTTGCCATTGCTGCTGCCGCTGCTTGAAAAGAGGGCTTTCACTGCCGTTGCGGCTTCTGATGGGTTGGTGCAGATTTTAATTACTGTAAATTGTGTGTGCTCTAGTCAGCACAGCTTGAATCCTAGACCAATTTTGCATTTACATTGGTTCAATTGCATTTACCTTTAAATTCTGGCTGCAAAATCTCGCTCGTGGCTTTAGTGTGGCTCGGGAACTTGCCGCAGAGCAGGACGGGAATTGGTTCAAGCGTGGAGGGTGTTGCCATGATGAGAGCTTGGCCCTTTTGAACCTTGCAAACTCCAAAGTAGCTGTAACAATGTCAAGAATGAATTAACAATGCTGCAGACTAGACTTTATCTTTCTTTTCAAAGCAATTGTTTCTTTTTTTATAAATTGCCTGATCCCTTGATACATCAATCCCTTGGTACCTGAAATACAAACCTGACAAATCCACATCGGTGCTCGGTGCTCAAGTATAGCGAGCGGGTGAGCTAAGCAAGGGATGGCCCGCTCTGGTTCGGTCCCGAGGCATGACAAAGCGCACGGCGCCGGAGGTTTTAATACCACGGACCATGAAGGAAAACATTGACACACGGGGAATACGGATAACACGCAATCTATTTCATTATACTCTGCTCGTCCTTTCCTCCACTCTTCTGTGATTGCTCTAAAAACATACTATTGTCTGCCACGGAGGGTTTCAACCACTTGTTTGTCATTTGTCATCCTTAACTTAACGTCGAGGATAACACATACTAGTCTGTATTATCCATATTATCTATGTCTGTGATTTCTATCCAACGCCAATAGGCATCTAATAGTCTCTAGGTAAGGTTTATAGAATGCTGTCTTTGCGACTCGCTGGAATCACACCAAGGAAAAAGAAAACCCAAAATGATAACGTCTTCCAAAACTCCTTAAAGAATCACCCATGCCACTACCTCGCTAATCGCAAGTCATCATTTCCAGAGTCTCAGCATCTGATCGTAGTCTGCCGTCAATGGCCTAAAAGCAACACCCATACTCTCTGGGCCGCTCGTTCCTGTGGCCGAAGCAGTGTCCCTGCGCTCTGAACAATCGTGATCGATATCCTGGCGTCTTTCTAGTATCAGGGATGGTTGACTCTTTGAAAGTATGGTTCCTGGCAGTCTCATCTTCGCTTGTATCTGCCGAACTCGTCTCTTCCCGCACCGTGCTTAGCCGTGCTCTCTAGACAACTGTGCAAGAATCTTCCTAGGCCTTGCTAGTGGCAGCCGCATTACTTGTAGTAGTCGAGCCAATGATCCTGCTTGCAAGAGATGTACTCTTGCTCGACTCTTTGGCTAGCTGCTCTGCCTCTACCAGAGCTGATTTACTGGCTATGACTTCGGTCTCGAAATCGTCATCATTGCCGACGAATGTCCAACTCTCCTCCTCCTCTTCGTCTTCGCTAACAGAGTCTGATACTGCTTCCTTGCTCTGTTTGGAAGCTTGATGCTTTCCGGCTTTGGCAACAACAAGGGAGCGTGCATATTCAAGGTCGCGGTATATGGCTTGTATGGCCGTATCTACGCCATTTTCCTGCAATGATATTAGTATACTTTTTCTCCAAGATGGAAGTTGCAGGGCAACAACATACCTTGCGAATTGCCTCACCAAGAACTCTGGCTTTGACAATGATACGATCGCTGTTGCACGCTTCCCACAATGCTCTGGCAAAAGAGGCGACACCCCATTTCTTTAGGCAGATACCAACGCCAAGGTCCTCAACTCTTGCACCGTAAAAGAACTGATCTCCAAAAAATGGTCGGATAATGGTGGGTATACCGGCTCTCAAGCTTGCACCCGTCGTGCCTGATCCGCCATGGTGCGCGGCAGCGTCCATTTGCGTGAATAGCCAGTCGTGCGGAGCCGATTTGATTTGAAATATCTCGGGCGGCAGCTCAGGCTCTGGGACGCTGGACTCGCTACCCATACGATCTGACCAGCCTTTGGACAGGACGCAGCGTACATCGGCCTTGAGTACGGCATCAATGACCTCTTGAGTCATCTTGGCTGGGTCTGACACCACGATTGAGCCAAATCCCACGTACACAAGCTTCTTCCCGTCCTTGCGTGCCTGTTCAATGAACTGCCGAAGGTCGTCCGGAGGGGTCCAGTCGGTGCCTTCATTCAAGAACCAATACCCAGTGACACGAATCCAATCTGAGAAATCCAAAGGAGGAGCAACTACTGAAGGCGAGAAGTTGTACAAGAATGGAACCTTGTTCTGTGCCATTTTCTCGAGATTGGTTGGAGGTAGACCGAGCGTCGTCTTTCGCCACCTATTGACTTGGCCGGCCATGGCTTTCCAAAAGACGGTGTCGAACATGACATAGGTCATGTAGTTGTACGCGCCACCCATCTTGTTGTTGGGAACGATAAATGCGTGCGGGTAGGCGCGAGTTCGCGTCCAAGGCATGGTGAACGCCCGAAAGTAGGGAATCTGGAGAGCCTCTGCCACATGAATACCTGCCATGGTGGATGGCGATTCAATAAGCACGTCGCTGCCTTTGACACCTTCGTAGGCCGACACAAGAAGCTCGTCAAGCCACGATCGGAAAGTTGTGTTTGCTTCTTTCAAGAAAGCAAATGTAAAGGTGCCATTTTGGATGCAGAGACGCATCAATTCGCCAGGGTCACCAGCAACAGGCGCAAACTCAATACCATGACCTTCAACCCAATCCTTGAACTCGGCATGCGTTGCAATTCGAGGCTTGTGGCCCTCTGCTAAGAGTCCTTTGCAGAGTGCAATATATGGTTGAACATCACCTCGTGAACCAATGGTTAGACAAGTGATTTTGAGCGACGACGCTGGCTTGAAGTTGAGGAAGGATGCCTTTGGATCGTCAAACAATATCGTAGGTGACGCGTCTCCCAGGAAAGATGCTTGTTGCGGCAGCTGAACCTCATGCTCCGTATTTTCCTTCAGGCGGGCCTCATTGAGAGCATTTCTTTCAGCCAAAGCATCGTCGACTTGTTCTTGATCCTCCTTTGCAGCAAATTCGGAGTCTTTCAGATATCGCATAGCTTCCAGATGTTTTAGCATTGTGATGTTGCAATCATCTCTTACTTCGACTTGGTTGAATTCAAAGAAGAGTTCTTCGTGACCACGGATCACGAGAACCAGTCCAGAGTAGCCGAACCTGAAACCTTTCTCCTTGTAACAAGTCTCAATGTCTCTGATTGGAAGTATGAGCTTTGTGCGGGTGCCTGGAAGTAGGCTGCGGAAGCAAAAGTATCGGTCGCTGACGTAAATTTTGCCATATAGAGGCAGGACGCGGATCATGAAGCCAAAAAAGGTGGCACGAAGCTTCTCAGTCTCTGGCAAGGCGAAGTGGTTTCGAAATCGTTGCATCGTTTTGCCAAGCTGAACTTCGGTGGCTTCTTGGCCGCCTTCGTCGTCTTCATCGTCCATTTCCTCGTCAGTTCGCAACGCGTTTGGATCGTGATAGTGCTTGCGGCCTCCCTTCCACATTCCAGAAACCTTTTCCACATAGCCCATGGATTCAGTTGCAAGAAGACTGCCCATCTTTCGGCTGGTCTGGTTGAGATAGTCGGCAAAAAAGCCAGCACGTTGTAGTGGGTAAGAACCCATCTTGGCAATGTTTTGCAATGTCGGCGTTGTCGCTGCTGGATGAAGCTTTTCGTCGGAGGCTGGCTCTGCGATGTAGCCGGTTGTTGCTGCGTGGCGAGGGCGGTAGGATGGCAGTCCTTCCTTTGGCTGACTAGCATCATCGTCTATCGGTTTCAATCTTGACCCCGAGGTCGATCGACGGTATATAGTTGGCCTTTGGAAGATTTGACTGTCCCTAAGAATCTGACTACCTGTCTGATCCTCACTTGATGATGCCACCATGTTGGAGAGACTGGGATCTTCGAGAGACTGTACATAGGAATCGGACGAGCCTGGGTTCTCTTGAGGCACCTTCGTGATACGGGTCCTTGCGCGACTTTGGGACCGGCTACCACTAAAGCTTCGCCTTGCAGAGCCACCATGTGTCGGACTGCCCATGTCTAAACTCCTCCTCGCAAAAGGCCTGAAGCCATCGAAGCTGCCTCTGCTCAACTCGCCACTACCTCGAGACATCGACTCTCGATGGCTACTTGGCGATGCGGGAGCAAGTGTTGCCTTGACATTTTCACGGACCTTGACTGACCTCAATTCACCACTTGGAGCTTCGGTCCTAGAAGCACTGAGCGAGCTCCGGTCTGAAGAGGTACCAGTTCTACCCTGCATCCCCGGAACGTCCAATTCGGACTGCTTCTCTTTCTGCTGCTCCGCAGCATCCTCGACCAAGATTTTGAGAACATTCACAGCTTCCTTGCCAAAGCCAAAGAACGAGAAAAGATACTCGTCGATAGCAAACGTCTCCTCATTGTCGATAACCCTGATCTTGATGGTATCGGCAAACTCGAGCATTTGTGTTTCTTCAATATCCACGACATTGCTGATAGGTAAGGAAATTTTGACGCTGTCACCGTCATTATGCGAACGGAAGATTACGCGTTGAAGGCTCTTGACCCATTCCTTGGCGCTTGGTGCACTATCAGCTCTGAAGTGATATGTGCGGTGCTCGGTCACGACAGAAAAGTGTACGCCGTCTTTCTCCTTATCGACAATGTTTGCTGAGATGGCATACCGCAGGTCAATCTGGCCACTGGGAAAGTATAAATTCGAAGAGTCTCGGTAATACCCCAAAACGTCTCCTTTCAGTCGAAACCAGTATCGGTTATACTTGGGGTTTCTCTTTCCACTTTTGGACAAGTAACCAGATTTTGCGACTTCGTGCTGTGAAGAATTAGACAATACACATGGGTGGGTCAAAGGTTGGACTCACTGCTTTCTTGGGGAGATATGCATAAAAGCAGATATGCCTCGCAGTGATGTACATGTAACCTTGGAGCAGCACACTCTGGAGGAGCCAGCAAGGATATTCTGAAGTAGTCAGTATGGTGCTTGGCCAAGATCCCGATTGCGGCAGCTTACCTTCTAGGACTTTCTCGGGCTGGTCAAATTCGAAAATCTCTTTCAAGCGCACGGCCAGTTCTGTGTCTTCGTTGTCTCCCGGATCGCTGCCTCGTCGCAGATCACTAGAGAGGCGTTCCAGGTCGAAGCTGGGTCGAGCGGCCATCTCTGCTCTAGCTTCGAGCATCCTGCTCATAACAGGCGCGGCCCTTGAATCGCGGTCATTTCCTGTGATTTCGATATTTGGAGACTGAAGACTCGAAGAGCCAGCCTCCGAAAATGTGCCGTGGTGGGCAGCTGCATCCTTTAGACCGGCATTAAGTTCTGTGGAAGGTGAATTAAGCTTCGAGGACCTGGATCTTGATTTTGAAGACAAGCGTGGTAGCTGTGGGAGAGAATGAAGGAGCTGAGAGGATAGTCGGCGCCGATGTTTCTTGTCCGTCTTTTCTGCCTTCTCTGGAGAAGTCTTTTTGGGTATCTGTGATGTAGCTACATCTTCCCGCTCTGGTTCTTTTCCCTTGGCCTTTTTGGCCTCGGGCCTTTGGTCGCCAGCTTCGTCTTCGTCGCTATACTGCTCCTCGAATCGGTCATTGAAATCAACGGTTGACCCGGCGGCCGCAATCAACCCAAATATGGATTGGTTCATGTTCATGAACATTTGTTGGCCGCCCTGTTGAGGCACTACGTCCTCGTCAACCTCATCTCCAGTCTCTTTTAACCGATCAGGGAGCTCCATAGTTGGCTGGTGTTCTTCTCGACGCTTCTTGTGCAGTTTCTTGCTCACTCGTCGCCTGGTAGCCTCCTCGTTCGAGGGGCGGATATCAGGGGGTGTAGGGGCCATATTTTCGTCGAGCGGCGGCCGTCTGCCTAATCGACAGAGGTCCCGGGCTTGCTACGTCGTTGATGCTATCTGCCTGGCGCGTATGCTTTTGGCAATGTGATATTACAGGTGTAGACGGTACAGTGTGTCATGCAGTGGATCCAAGGGAGCTTGGCTCCTGTCTGAGGGCTCGTGGTGTGCCTTGTAGTAGCAAGGCAAAGTCTCGAGGTATTCGGGGGGATTTGGAGCTATCGGGGGATGCAGTTGACTTGGTCAAGCTTCGAGATGCATATCGAGGACAAGAATCAAGTAGACAGAGGACCTAGGCAGTAGTCGGATAGGCAGCGCATCAGTTGCATCAGATCAGAGCGATAAGTCGAGGGGTGGGCTATGTATGTCGCAAGGACGGATAGCCAGATTCGGAGTCAGGCTGACTATATCAGGCAATGAGCTTGTCGGTCGGGCGATTGACACATGCGCCGCACGTTTAGTAGAGTGACAATAGTAGAGCTTTGGTGTATGTACGTGGTGTATAATTGAGGGGGGACGCTGCTGGATCCGAACCTGGCCGACACAGCGACAGTATTCAGGTGATGCACATGTACCCAGCCAGAGAAAAGAAGAAAAGCGACGACATCCGAGAAGGCAAGGTCTGTTCCTGGTTGCTCATCGGATTTGACTGCGCCTAGGGTCAACTCACTTCGCCGTACCTACCTACTTGCGATGGATGGCAGCGTTATCGATAAGTCTCACACCCGGATGACTGACCTTATCGGGTTGTCGAACGGGCGAATGACGCGACGCTTGTCTGGTGAACGTGGACCGCTTGGAGGGCGGGTAAAGCGGGCGATGACCACTGAGTTCCACCAAAATGGGGCTTTTGGGGGTGAGGCGCTAAATATCCCTGTGATTGCTGGGGAACGCAACGAACCAGACGCAGTCAGAGTGCACTGTGCCTTACTATTCAATGCCTACCTGACCCTACCGTTAGGTACGCTCTGCATTTTGGATCGTGATTTTGTCACATGCAACCTCGACATATGACTATAATTTTCGGCTTCCTCAGCAGTCCGTGACTGGGTCTAAGCACATTCTGATACGAAAGCGATTATCATGTATTTTGTGTCTCGAGATAAAACTGCAATACTATATTATCTTCGACTTTTCAAGGCTACGTCATATCGGAACAAACCAACATTGACTGAGACGGGTATGGTATGTGAGCTTGTTGTGTCTGAATAGGCCCCGCTATCAGAGTACCTCTGTGCCTTGACCACTAGTTATACTCCTCGTCTTCTTGGTGGTTCTTATGAATTTATCTTCCGTAGACGTACGTCGGCAAGCTGTGATACTGGTTCGTTGCATCTGGTTCTCTCTGCGGGACCGTTCCTTTTTTTTTTTTTTTTTTTTTTTCCTTGGTCCCTCCACCTCCCAATGGCTGCAGGAATTAGGCAGTAGTCTATCACCAGCAAATGTGCTGTCAACCATGAATTTGGTGTATATGAACATGGCTCTACTTTCGGCACGATCCAAAGTATGCAAAGTGCACAGCTCGCAAACTCTCAAGCCAGAGTTCAGGCCATCTGACAGCTGGGATGCGAAGATGCGTACCTCAACGTAACATAAGAAAATACCTGACGCCACATAATAAGTCATAAATCTTCACTTGGTAAACGTCCAAGACAGAAAACCAAGACGCTTCCAACTGCGCTCAAGGTGTGATCATCTAAAAGACAGCTTATTGCGGCATGAGAGGAAGCGGGAGGAGGCACGAATTTGTTCCACATTAGTTGTATTTGCCGAACGGCAACCGGTGCAGGATATATGAGAATTGAGCTAATGGCTTCCGAGCACTGACTCCATATTTCATGTAGCGGCTGGTATCACCACAAGGAGATTCATACACGGGACCACATGTACACCTTGGCCGTCGAATTTTTGTACGCTTGAAAGAGGTTTGGGAGAAGGCTTAGATGTATATTGAAATGAGTTGGCTTGACGATGACGACAGTGTCAGTCCAAGCAAGATATCTCGATCCCCTATGACAATCGATGCCTTCTGCACTCTGTAGCATTTAGCCACGGGACAATTGCTCAGCCCAGAGGTACTCTCACCGGCCTCATAGCAACCTGGTAGCACTAGGCTATAACTCAGTCCAGACATTGCCAAAGCATTGCCACGCGCACTTGATAGAGGCACATGAACCACAATGAGTGGGTGAAAAGCAGTTTTATTCATCGGAACTCCCTTTCATATAACCGTTCATGCCATGCAATGCTCGAGAAAGAAGCCTTGAGCCTAAGAACCTTGCGCTACCTGCCGCGTGGTGTTGGCAGGAGACTTGAGTACAACCTGCCCCAAGTTCGTTGTCAAGGTATTCCGGTTTTTCCCATGTCCATCCCTCACAAAACGATAAACTTATGCGACGAGCTCAACGACACCACCAGCCTCGGTGATCTTCTTCTCGGCGAGCTTGCTGACCCAGCGGGCACGAACGACCAGGGGAACTTCGGGGAGACGGCCCTTTCCGAGGACCTTGGAGTAACCGAGGGGAAGGAGGTCGATGACGGGGACGGTCTCCTTCTTCTCGCCAGAGAGGTAGGCCTCACGGGTCTCGGCGGGGACAAGCGACCACAGCTGGGGAATGCTGTTAGCCAAATGGGTTCTCTTGTTGGCTAATTCAACCAGTTTACGTACCTTGTCCAGGTTGACGATGGGCTTCCAGAAGTGGTTCTGTTGCTTGTGGAAGTATCGCATACCAACCTTACCGAAGTAACCAGGGTGGTACTTGTCGATGTTGGTACGGTGGTGGTGCTGACCACCGGCCATACCACGACCACCGGGATGCTTGCGGTGCTTGCCGATACGACCCTTACCGGCCGAGACGTGGCCACGGCTAGGAAGAAATGTTAGCCATATGTGCGGCGATAGAGGTTGCTCCTTGTGCAAAACTTTTGTCGCTGGGTCCCAATCGATCGAGCGCTCGTCTGCTGTTCTTGGCGATAACTTTGTGGTCCATTGGTTTAGGCAGAGAATTTCTCCTTCGGCAAGTCCTTCAATCTCGTACAACACCGAGGTTGCAATGTTGTCGTGAATGTGCCTCCTCTTGCATCATGTCGACTTTTGCACCACTCTTGCCGTTCCCAGCTCACAGTCCCGTTGAAAAATTTCTTCAGCTTCGTAGTCGACACGGCGCGGCGCAAGCGATAATCGAGGGAGCCCGTTGACAAAGTTTTGGAAGTCGCATAGAGCACTCGGATTGAACACTTACTGCTTTCTGGTCTTCGACAGTCTGGTAGGCATCTTGACGGTTGATGGTAGCCTGGATGGTTAGTATGGTGTTTTCGCTACTCCGTCTGGCGAAGGGCTTCTTTTGCTGAGAGTGAAAAGTTCCAGAGTGTGATGGAGCTAAGCCCGATCTCCACCGCTGCTTGAGAAGGGTTTTGCAGCCCTAGCAAAATTGTGCCGTGGCTGGAGGGCAATTGAGCTTGGACCAACCAGAGCATCAGCCACATGCAAGAGGTCTCCACTGCGCCCGCCTATCAAACGCCTTTAACAGTTCGAATTCACTTGCCATGTTTGGATCACGCAAAACTGAAGTGAGGTAATCCAGGAGCACGCTGTTGACTTCTTGCATGGGCACAAAGAAATACATGCAACATGTTTGATTCATTAATCATTACCTCGCAAAGATGCAGTTTTGAATTACTTAAATAATGATTGCATAAGCATTGAGATCCCTTAACAAGGCGGAACATCTCTCCTCAGTATTTTCGATTCTTGTGACCAGGCGACAAGGTTCTCTCTGTCCCAACCCACCGTCGATGTTTCTTATATTCTCTACTCCATCGGCATGCAAAACATTGAGCTTGGCTGTCACGTGGAAAGAAATGGACATAAACTCCTTGCATCCTCCAGTACCAAAGGCTCAAATCGCGAAGCTGTTGGGCAGTAAACACTGATTGGTTCCCGCGCATGTCAACACTTTTGCAACTTTTTGAGTCGACAAATCTGATTGCGGATCCTTTTGTTTCGACTGTTCTAGCCCGCAGGCACATTTCACGATCATCCAGTAAGAGCAAGGTTATACTGCGGCAACCCACTTGAACCACACCTCAGTGCCGCTGCATGTCATCCACTTTCTTCAAAACACCTCTATTGGCCATGCACTACTAGTGTCTTTGAGTAAGCAATAGCCAAGATGTCGGCGTCACGAGTTGAGGACATTACTGTTGGCGTTCAGGACATTGACTTCCACCATCCATATACTCCGTATGATGTACAAGAGCAATTCATGAAGGCTGTCTATCGTGTTCTTGAGCAAGGAGACGGTCAAATTGGTATTCTGGAGAGTCCAACAGGCACAGTAGGTTTGACATGTCCAGACGGGCTTGGTTTGTGCACATTATTGACAACTAGTCTAGGGCAAATCACTTTCTCTTATATGCGCCGCTTTGACATGGCTGCGCAATCACAAAAAGGACACATTCGAGGCCTCTGTGAAAGACGCAGCGGACGCGTTTCAAGATGAGCCCGATTGGATTATTGAGCAGATGCTCAAGAGGAAACGGGAAGAGGTGGTTCGGCGTTGGGAAGAGCGCGAGGCGAAACTGCAGCGCATCCGTGCCAAAGAAAAGCTGATGGAGGGGCGAGGCAGCAAGAGGAGACGAGTCGATGATCCAGGTCCCAAGTCTGATCCATCGGGCGCCTCGGAAGAAGACGAATGGCTGCTTGACGAGAGGAATGAACAAGAGGCGCAACAGCCGAGCGAAACCTCAAGTTTTAGCAAAGAAACGCGTAATCTTATGGAAAAGCTCGGGATGGGATCGCTCAAAAAGGAGGACGACGACGATCAAATCGACGAACCCATCAAGGTTTGTGTCATTGTCCCAGAAAATGCAGATATAAGCTGACAACCGCAGATTTACTATACTTCGCGAACACATTCGCAACTTACCCAATTCATATCGGAACTGCGCAGACCAAAATTTCCGTCCTCGGTTCCAGCAGACCTACTGCTTGGTGGTAGCAAGTCAGATGCTGAAGTTGTCAAGCTCCTTCCGCTATCCTCGAGGCAGCGTTTATGTATCAACCCATCTGTATCGAAACTTGGAACACTAGCCGCAATCAACGACAAATGTAGCGAGCTTCAACAATCAAAATCCGGCTCTAAATGTCAATATGTCCCGGGAGCAGATAATCTTGGCCAAACGCATCAATTCCGAGATAATGCATTGGCGACATTGCCTGATATTGAGGATTTGTACGGTTTGGGCAAGGAACTGTCAATATGCCCCTATTATGCATCCAGAACAGCTGTTCCAGGTGCTGAGATAATCACTCTGCCATACCCACTACTCTTGCAAAAGACTGCCAGAGATGCACTCGGCATCAATCTGGAAGGTAATGTGGTTATTGTTGACGAAGCCCACAACATCATGGACGCAGTCGCCAATGTCTATGCTTCCGAGATTAGTCTCGGCGAGCTCAAGCGGGGACGACAGATGCTTGGCGTCTACGTAAAGAGATTTGGCAAAAAGCTCAAAGGCGAGAATAGAGTCATGGTTGCTCAGGTGGCTAGGGTCATTGACGGTCTCAGCGAATGGCTCGATGGGGCATTGCGATTCAAGGTTAGTACATACCATCAACACGCACATAACCATTGCTGACCACGACCCAGAACGACCAAGGTATCGTTGATTCGAATGCTCTGCTGCAGACAAAGGGCATAGACCAAATCAATTTGTACCAACTCATCCTGTATATCCAAGAGTCCAAGCTTGCCTACAAGATTGAGGGATACGCTACTCACATCGAGGAACAAGGCGATCAGAGCACACGAGCTGGATCTTCGACGCCCGTCTTGCACAGTCTTCTCTCTTTTCTAGTATCCTTGACAAATCTAGGCTCCGAAGGACGCATCTTTTACCACAAATCACCAAAGTCCAACGCACTGCAGCCAGATATCAAGCTTTCGTATCTTTTATTGTCACCCACATATGCTTTTTCTTCGATTGCGTCTAGCGCTCGCGCTGTCATCCTGGCAGGAGGAACCATGTCGCCCTTTGATGACTATACGGCACATTTGTTTCCAGACTTGCCGTCGTCCAAGATCACCACGCTCAGTTGTGGTCACGTTATCCCCAGCTCAAACTTGTGCGTTTGGACACTCGGCGGCACCCAGCCGGGCGTGGAGTTCGAATTCAGCTTCCAGAAACGCAGCGACAAGACCGTGATCCACGAACTTGGCATGTCCATTCTCAACATGTGCACCGTCGTTCCAGATGGCATGGTTGTATTTTTCCCCAGCTATGGATATCTGGATGAGGTGGTTTCAGCCTGGAGCGACTTGCCCCCAGGAACTGGATCTACCAAGCAGCAATCGATATGGGCAAGACTTCAAGCCAAAAAGGCACTGTTTAGAGAAAGCAAGGGTGGCTCCAGCGATGAGGTCCTCGCACAGCACAGTGAAGCCATCCTAGGCGACCCGTCCAAGCCTGGGGCCAAAGGCAACGGCAAAGGGGCTCTCCTCCTGAGCGTCGTCGGCGGAAAGATGAGCGAGGGCATCAACTTTTCTGACCGCCTCGGCCGCTGCGTTGTCATTGTCGGACTTCCCTACCCCAACATCAACTCGCCAGACTGGAAAGCGAGGATCGAGTACATTGAGACCACAACCACCAACCGGTTGGTCTCGGGCAGTTCGCCGATATCCAAGACTGAAGCGACACTCGTGGCGAAACAGGCGGCGAGAGATTTTTACGAAAACGCGTGCATGCGCGCAGTGAACCAAAGTATTGGCAGAGCCATTCGACACAGGGGAGATTACGCAGCCATTGTTCTTGTCGATCGCCGCTTCAGCACCGATAGGATCAAAAAGAAGCTTCCAGGATGGATTCAAGGTGGCCTGGTAGAGGGAAGTGAAAAGGGTGGACTCGGGCAAATGATGGGTAAGCTATCTGGCTTCTTTAGAGGTAAACGGAACCAGTAAGGTTAGGAATCGGCACAGTATGTTCAACCAGTGCACCGACAGGACTGTAATATTTTATAGTATGTAGAGATTCCCTGACAGGATCAGTCATCGTTTTGATACTGGACGAGTGGGTGGCCTAGAGCCTGCCGAGCCGTCTAAAACCCATTGCGGGGCTGCCAGGCTACAGCAAGGTTGATCCCCGCCACAGGGATAACGGCGCTATGAAAAGTTCCCTATTACTGAATCTGGCAACCCCAAACATGTTGTGCGTCAAACGCTGTATAAAAAAGCAATGTTGGAGTTCACGTCCCCTCATCTTTTTGAATACGTATACCCGTTCTTTTGTGGATTTTGACCTTATTTCTGAAAAGTCATAAACTATCAGCTCTGACAATAGAAACAGTCGTCCTTTCTCTTGTCGTGTGTTCAATATCGTCTAAAGTCCAGCCGCGCAATTAGTCGGGGCACAAGATGCAGAGAACACACATGAGTAGGATTACGCCACGATTTCAAGGCACGATAGGCATCAAATCACCATATAGTGGAGTATCGCCAGTTTCCCGACACAGTCTTCGGGTCCTTGTGTCTGCAAGAGCGGGGACCAAGACGGCTTTGAGGCCTTACAGCAGTTCTGCTAGTGGTAGCTCGCCCATCAAGCCGAAAGCCTCGTGGGCTTATTCGTTTCTTTTTATTGCCCTTGGCGCCTTGCTGAGCGACCAGTACAAATCTTACCGATCTTCATCAATAACGACGGGAGTCAAGGAAGAAGACCCCTCTCCAAAAGCGCCCAAAGATCCAATCACTACACAGCTTAATACGGAAAGCAGCGTCTACACCGACGATGCTAACTCAGTGGCATCCTACCACGTCACGAGATTAGAAGCTAGTAGTCCTTGCGAAGATCGCTATGTACACGGAGAACTGAGCGCTTCAGAGGGTAGCGTCTTGCAAGGCCCATGGTATGCCTGGGCCGTATTCGACGGCCACGCGGGTTCGCAGACGGCGGCCTTGTTGACGAAGCGGTTGCTTCCCGCTGTCCAGGACGCACTCAGTTCCCTGGACTTGGACAGCGCCGACGACAGGGCCGTGAGCGAAACTGTCAGCAAGGCTTTCGTCGCCCTGGACGACGATATTGTCAAGGGCGCCGTCGAGGCCGTCCGCGCGGGTGTTCCATATCATGAGCAGATAGCAAAAATCATGCCGGCCTACACTGGGTCCTGTGCCCTCTTGAGCCTCGTGGATCCCAGGGCCTGGACGCTGAGGGTGGCTTGCGTGGGAGATTCCAGGGCTGTCCTCGGCCAGCAGGACGCAGACGGCAAGTGGAACGAACGCAACGTCTCTGTCCGTGGACCAGACCGGAAGCAACGACGACGAGATTGCACGGATCAATGCCGAACACCCGGGCGAGAGCGGCATTGTCAAAGGTGGGCGCGTCCTGGGCCTCATGGTCTCGCGCGGCTTTGGCGACGGAAGATGGAAATGGGATCTGGATTTTCAGAGCGAAATTAAAACCAAATTTGAATTGGGATTCAACCCGCTCTCACCAGCCAAGTACGAGGTCAAGACTCCGCCTTACCTGTCAGCTGAGCCGGTCGTGACCACGACCCAGCTGGACCGCAAGAGACCATCATTTCTGATCATGGCGAGTGATGGGTTCTGGGATCGAGTCTCGACGGAGCAGGCTGTAGATCTCATTGGCGGGTGGCTCAACTCGCGCGAAATGGCACAGCAAGTGCCTCTCGGCCGAGATACTAAATCGAGTTCCCGGGCCGTTGTGGAGGATTCCAGAGGGCCGTTCAGCTTGGACAAGTATGGTTGGGATAAGCCTGGTTTTCGATTCAGTAGAGACCGAGAGAGTTTCCAGGACGCCAACAATGCAGCCGTTCATCTGTTAAGAAACGCGCTGGGCGGTAACTATGTAGAAATGGTCGAGGCAAATCTGGTGGCCGAGCCGCCTTTTGCTCGGAACTCGAGGGATGATATCACTGTCCAGGTCATATTCTTTGATCCGTCAAAGCTACAGCTACCGACCTGATTCAAGCACTCCCAGGATATCTCGCAAGCGCCAAACCTTCGATAGTGGGTCTGGAGATTTGCATGGCGATGCTGGTATCCAATTCAATTTCGATTTCCCATTCCCGTTCTTACGTTACCCTCGTGTGTAATCTGTAATTGTGTTGGTAATGGTTGTATTTCATTGGCATAATGTTTACGTGAGATGCATTTCCGATATGATCAAGAATCAAGATGCTCTCTCGTCAATGACCTGTGCGAACGCCGAGATGCGGAAACGCTAGAGTAGCAAGCGTTCCGCACGTTATGTTTGTACATTAAGGATCATAAGAAAAACTGTCAACTAATTACCTACTGCGCACCGTAGGTGGTGGCATTTTTTGTCTTTCTTTTCCCCCTCTGAAGATTTATGGGCAGGGAATAAATATTTCGTAGCTGGAAGCGGGGCACTTTCATTCCCACATTCCCACCCAACCTTGTGTGATCATCCTCAGCTGCAGCATCGGTCGTCCCGTGCCAGGTTACGAACTCACCCCTTTTAATAATCACAAGAAAGATTATATAAACTGTGATTAGTCTTTTGACTGGATAGATTTCTTGATAAGTAGTCCAGTCGTCAAATACATGATACCCTGATTCCGCTGTCTCGTGGTTGGCCGTCTCACTTTCTCTCTTCCATTCCTTCGCCCCGACGACCCACATATCCCGTCAGATAACAACCAAGGCTTGATAACCAAGAATCAATCGAGCAGCAAAAGAACGCGCGCCCCGCTGCCCGCGTCGCCTACCATCATGTCAGCCGTCACGGAGATTGTGCAGTTCAATCCCAAAAAGGACCTCAACTTTGACGATGCCGCCCACAGGCTCACCAGAACCATTGCCCAGCAGTCGGGCGTGACGCGCGTGCGCTACGCGAGGAGGCACGAGGATCCGCTCAAGGGCGCCATATTCATTGACTGGCGGGCCCTTTCCGACCACAAGGCCTTTATGGAAAAGGAATACTACGGGCCCTTTCTCGAGGTGGTGCGGCATCTGGTCGACGGGCCCTTGAGCATCTACCACGTGCCCTTTCACCCGCACCCGCCCACGGTCCTCGACAACCTGGACGGGCGCGGGCGCTCCAAGGTCGCCGAGGTGGTGCACGCCTATTTCCCCCTCAGCATCACCTCGGTCCAGCAGCAAGAGATCTTGGCCGACGTGCAGCAGTTTATCGACCAGATCAATCCCAAGGGTGCCAGCGGCGAGCACGCCCACGGCTTTGCCCTCGAGGACGTCGAGTTCAAGGGTGAAAAGTGCCGGGCCCTCGTCTTGGTGCTCGGCTGGGACAGTGTCGAGGCCCACCATGCGTACCGCCAGACTGAGGATTTTGCCAAAAATATCCCGCTGCTGAGGAATCTGCCGGGACTAAAGGGAATGGAGATGTGGCACGTAATGAATCGGGAGACCAAGGTATAAGGTTTCCATGACGACGACAAGTGAGTGGGTGGGAGATATCCGGCCGCAAAGGCTTCACATGGGTTATGAATGGGAAGGATTGGCGTATGGGATATAGAGGAGTCAATTAATTTCACACGAGGATCGAATCTGGTCATTCATGGCCAAGTCTTTGGTAGGGTTTGACAAGGAAAAACTGGTTCAGACATGACCCGCCGACCATGTACTGGCAATTTTTGCACATGGACCTTACTACAAGGTAGTGCATACAGTGCTTTCCAAACGCCACAAGACTATGAAAGTGACGTCTGAAGCAGCAAGGAATTAAAGCCAATTGCTGATTACATTGATATCTCAATGCTGGCAAAGACAGAAGACGTGAATCAAGCCACGGAAAGACCATGCGCCATCTCGGCGCTGATGCCCGAAGCCTACAGTTGCGATCCTTGAGCAATGATAAGAGCCACATTCGACAGATTCCCATGTTCTTGGCAAATGCAAACTTGGAAACTTGCGAAAATAATTCTATTTCGAGCCTGAGATGTACATATGATCTTTGAGGCTTCAATGAGGATCCGTAATCACTGTTGAAACCGCAGTTACAATAGCTTGGATTCACCGCAATCATGGTACACGAATGTCGTTGAATTGCAAATGCAGTATCCAGATACTATATTCCAAGTCATCAAATACGTAGAGGAATATTAACCAAGCATACGAGGATCATCTTAGATATGGTCAGACATGAATACGACGAGAGTTACCACTGTATTGCGTTGACCAGCTTGCATCGCAATCATACATCATATCAGCCAGACCCAAAATGAGATTCAAAGTCATCTTATATGATTTACTGATGAAGATACCTGATATGCGGATTTGGGTCTTGTCATTGGGGCTGAATGACAGTCAGGGTGTCTTCGACAGCAGCAGTATCCGCGCCATATCAACCTCGCCAACATTTACTCAAACAGCATTACGCATTTCCTATGGGCACCGCGATAAAATATGTCGACTTTCCAAGTACGTCTGGCCTCGTCATGGAGTTGCAGAAAATTCACTGCACGACATTGCACCACGACACGACCACACCGAGAACACAGTCAGGAACCGGGCACAAGGACAACACAAACCTCATTGACATGTGAAATTCTTTGAAGCTCAGACTGTACATGATTGCTCGCCGACCTCGAAAAGGGAGCGAATCTCTAGTGTTGTTGCGTCCCAGCTCCGAGAAACCCCTGTCCAGTTCTGGCGATTCCACTCAACTGGACCACCAAGAGGGAAGAAAAAGCAAATCCTACAGCAAAACTCTTTAGCTGATCTTGCTGCAAAGAAGGTTTCTAGCGTGTTGACTGTTGGACAAATCATGGACATGTCAAAGAAGAAAAGAAAAAGTAGCGCGTGATCAAGAACTACGATTGGTTCCAGTCATCCAGGTCACTTTTCCCCCCGTCGGCCAAGTACGTGCGAATCGGATCTCACATTTGCCCGAGTGATCTGGAGAAAAAAGAGTGTGCCACAGGTCTCCGGGGGGTGGGCTCGGATGTAGGTCATTGTATGAGATAGATGAAGTATTTGGAAGATGGCTGTTTTGACTCAGTTGTCTTGCATTCTTGACATTTCTTTCACGCTCTCACCGTAAAGTGACCTATCGATGGGATTACCTCTTTGGTGCGTTGATAGTTATTTACCATGTCTTCTCGCTTTTGGGCAATCGAGTAATCTTATCGAGGCAGTCGTTTCATCTCGCCTTGTACTTTACCGAGTACGGGGTTCTTTGACATTGTTTAAATTGTAAAGAAGTCTACTACAATCGTTGAAGCACTGTACTGGAGAAGATAATTTCCGAAAGTAACAAACCTGCTTGTAGTGTTCTTTTTTTTTTTTTTTTTTTTCCCTGCATATGCCGTGGCTGTGAAGCGGCGGGACGCGTGGGATTAAATGATCATGGGGGACAAATCTATACATCTTCCCAGTACCTGTATATACAAAGTCCCGATTTGATTTTCGAGGACCTTTTGGCCCGGAGCCAAGTGCAGAAATCCATCTTGTGTGAAATACGACTTGCTACCAGAAAGCCAAGGTTGCGACCTTGTTGGCATGATTGGATATGGAGGTATTTGACCAAAAGAAAATCAAGATTCCATGTGGCGGATGCTAGAGGTATGACCAAGTGAGTCAAGAATCCACATTCGACATGTTGACATCTGGGACTCTTTGGATGGCCGGTCTCAGATTTCCTGGTCATGGGGTGGACTGCCTGGCAGAGATTCGTAAACAAGACGTAATCCAGTTTCTTTCTCTTTTCGTTCAAGTTTCCTGTTCACGTCCTGACTTCGAGGCTCTACCTTACCACCACGCTTACCAAGAAGGTTGGTACAATATTGCAGTCAACGATGCTGCGTGGCAAACTTCACCAGGTAAAACGGCCACGATAACTACCCATGTATAAGAAAGTATCTCCTGTAGACACATAGGATGACCATCTCCAGTAGAGATATTCGTGCAGAGAAAATGCTGTCCAAATTTACGCATACTTTGGTAGACTAGCACAGCTGATGAGAAGGCACTAAGATCTCAGCAACTTCATGAGAGCAAGCCAGCAGCTCCTTTGTTTGTGGATCTATTTGGCTATGCAAATAAGAATGCGGCGAAACACCAGAATGTTTGAAAATCAGAAAAAGAAGGGTAGGCATAGAGATCACAAGATACAAATAATGACGTAAATGTCGTACAGTTACGAATGCAAAGCAGAAGTCGTACGGTTAGCCTGCCGGAGGTTACGCGCCCCCTTGATTATGGCTTGTATGGTTAATAGCAGGGGTTTGTTCTAAGGACCATGGGAGTTGCGGAGAGGAGAGGTGTGTGTGAGATAGTCGTGGTGGTGTGGAGTCGTGGAATTAATGGTGGTGGTGGTGGTGGTGTAGGTACGTAGTGTCCAACAAGAACCATGATTCGCCAAAGGTGTATCGGGTTGTATTGGTTCCCACACCGCTGACAATGTAGATATGTGGCTGAGTTGAGAAATACTTGTTGAAAATGTACATTTGTCAAATGGATACGGCAGATCAAGTATAAAGGAACAGCTCATACATGAGGCTGTTAGCTTGAAAGAGATGTGGAAAATCCCCTTATCCTCCTCGAACCCGTATTTCAAGAGTGGTTCGAGCCAAACCATGTCCGTTGTGCAGATTTGTTTGAGACACAATGATATCAAGACAATACTCAAACCCACGTGGATGCTGAAATATTGATGGAGGTTGAGGGCTGCGGTATCTGTCGCCGAAGGCGATGGTAGTAATGTTGAAAGACCATGTGGCATCCTTCCACCCCTGGCCATGCAGATGCGGATGTATGCCAAGAACATGTTATATGCAAACTACTACTGATTTACCTGCACGGGACACATCCGTAGGGCGATGGGCGTTCTTGACATAGTCGAGGAATCCAGGATCTGATTCGTCGTGGTGGGGTTTTAGACTGTTGATATGTCCGCCTTGTGGGTGAGGGCTGTTGGACTTTTGCCACTGTAGATATGGAACGGGTACATCTTCTTTGCGGATACGAGGCGTTCCTCTGCGAAACAGGCCCAGGCGCAAAACCGAGGGACGAAAAGTATTTTGAAATCTACACCGTTTTTCACAATCATTATGTTTCCACTAGGTTGGTCAGTGCCTGGCGACCAGCTCGGGCATCCCTGGTGCGCGTTAGCGGGCGACCGGTCAAGGTGCGCCTTTGTGAACAAAGAAAATGGCGGGATCTTCAGGACAGCGTGACCAGAAATAACCACATTGGGGAGAAAGATATTGCGCCCACCAGGATGGACTTATCAGTATGTACGCATTACGTTTTGAGCAGCCCGTAAAACAGCTGAATGAAGGAGAACCCGAGTCAAGAGTCAAAGTGTGGTCGGATTTTCTCATTCTTCTCCCTTGTCATGTTTCTCGGTAGTTGGCCGATCGTACTGGGGGACCCTTCTGGCGATCCGGGAATCCCTGTCGAACCCGCGGCTATTGTGATAACGAGGTGGTTGGGACTGAGACTTGGAGGAGATCAAATCAAGCTTAAAACCCAAGGACATGACCGTTGCGCTATATCAAAACTGCCATGCATGTTGAAACCCCCAGAGCGAAGCATTTTACTACATTCCTCTGCACTGCATAAACGCGAGAAGCGCCCCGAGTCAAAAAGTCTCAGAAAGAAATTGTGCTCCAAAGGGGCATGAGCGTTTGCGCATGTACTGAAGATTTGAGATGTACAGGCAAACTGCTAGGCAAATAAAGAATCTGCATTATTATTGTTGTTGTTGGAAGAAGGGTGTCTGGTCTGTCGGTGTGGGGTGGCAGATGCCTTGGAGCTTACCTGCCTTGGTGCCACACCCAAAATGTATCCGGAGGCTCAGGTGACTATAATACGATGCACAAGTATCACCCCAAATTTCTTGCTATCAATGTCGGGCTTGGTCATGACACTTTTGGGAGGGGGATTTCAAGAATGAGCAAGGCATTAGTACATGGGCAGAAACTGACAATATATCAACTAGGCTTCGAAACACCAACACCAACGGTAGCCTCGTGTTACTCACTACTTGCTCTTGGATTTAGGCAGGTTACATCCGTCCCGTGCAACGATGAGCCTTCCTCTCATCCCTCTTCAGCCTCGCAAATAGCACAAAGCCGTACCAAAGGGGCTATTTCCCTCCTCCTCCTCAAAAGAGATTGGCGGAGACGGGACGGTGGAAATGTCGACCTCAAGATGGTAATATAGTCATGGGAGCCATGTCCAAGCATTTGATCAATGAGAAGAGCAAGGCGCGCGGCACGTCTACAGGGCTTCAGCTCACAACAGCCCACAACGGTGCCTTGTCTTGCCAAAAACCCCCTCCATCATGGACGTGTAACGATTTCCCCCCGTGTTTAGTAATCTGCATCGCCGTCCATGTTGTGTGAATTGGGCTAGTGTTGTCTCACAGGGACCTCTGAAAACGAGTTTTGGAGTGGTTAAGTCCATGCAACGAC